TTTCCCAGAGGGTCCTGGCAAGCCCTGCTCTCCCGGGGGTCCGGGGGGGCCTGGGTGACCTCTCTCCCCCATCTGACCAGACTCCCCAGAAGCGCCCTAGTGCGGGGGGAGACAAGAAACAGTGTGAGACCTTCAGGGAATGGGCCAGACCCTTCGACCCCTGCCTCTTCCACCACCAGGGGGAGCTGCTGAGTAACTGCAACCTGGAGGCATGGCCGTTCCCAGCCCACCCCGGCATCCCCCACCACCCGGCTTCTTACCTGAGGTCCCACCACCCCCGGGGGGCCGGGGGGGCCCGTCTTGCCTTGGAAACCCTGAAAGACAGAGAGAGATGGGGGTATTAGCACGAGCCACGGCAGATGTCTCTGCCCCCCCACCCCCGAGTGTAAGTGGAGTGTGTGAGGAGCAATGCAGAAAAGTGTGAGGAGTAACCATGGAGTATTCAGAGCGTAACACGTGAGTGTGTGAGGCGTAACCATGGTGAATCCAGAATGTAACATGTGAGTGTGTGAGGAGTAACCATGGTGAATCCAGAGTGTAACACATGAATTTATGAGCAGTAATGTGGGGGTAACCAGAGACTAACATTGGAGTATGTGAGGAGTAATGCAGGAGTATCCAGAATGTAATACATCAGTATACAAGGATTAAAATGGGAATACCCTGAGAGTTACATGGGAGTAAGAGAGTAGTAAAGTGGGAGTAACCAAGAGTAACAGCGGAGTGAACAGAGAGCAATGTGCAAGAGAGGAGTAATGCGGGAGTAACCAGAGTGCAACGCAGGAGTGAGAGAGGAATAATACAGGAGTATCCAGAGAGTAATATGTGAGCAACCAGAATGCAAAGCAGGAGTGAAAGAGGAGTAACGGGAGTATCCAAAGCGTAACATAGAAGCATGTGAGGGGTAACACAGGAGTATCCAGAGAGTAATGTGGGAGTAATTTGGGGTAACATGGGAGTAACCAGAGAGTAATGCCAGAGTATGTGAGGTGTAATATGAGAGTAACATGAGAGTAATCAGAGAGTAACAGGGGAGTAAGAAAGGAGTAACGGGGAATAATCAGAAAGTAACAAGGTACTATATGAGGAGTAATGAGGGAGTTTCCAGAGGTAGCCTGGAGTTACTTAGGTGTAACCTGGGAGGAACCAGAGTGTAACACAGGAGGAACCACAGAGTAACACAGGGGTAAGAGAAAAGTATCTGAAGCCCAACAGCGCAGTAACAGAGACACGTACGACTTCTCCTCGCTGACCGGGGTGCCCGGGAAGCCCATCCTTGCCAGGGGGGCCCTGTGGGGAGGAAAACGGAGAGGTCAGTGGCGCAGGGGGAGATCACAGTAGGAGGGAACTTGGGAACAGTCAGGAGAGCAGGGGAGCCAGCTGGGGGCCGGGTGGGAATGGCAGTGGGAGAGGGCTGGGATGCAGGCAGGGAGGCTGGGGAGCAGGTGGGGGGTAGCTTGGATGTGGGGGGAGGGGGCTGAGGAGCCGGCAGGGGGCTGGGGGTAGGCAGAGGGGCAGGGGAGGCAGTAGATAGTGCATGTTACTCACCGGTGGCCCTTTGGGTCCGGGGAAGCCGTTTGGCCCCTGGGGGCCCGGGAGTCCCTGTGGAGAGCAGAGCGGAGATTAGGGGGGGTTGTGGGGGCAGGGAAAACAATGCCCGGCCCCGGGGACACCAGCTGGAGGCCAGCACGGCCAGAGGCAGGCCAATGTTGTACCGGGAGCCCGACTACACAAAGCCAGCCGTGTCGCACTGAAGTGTCCCGTCCCTCGCACTAGGGAACTGCTGAGGCTGCTGCGCACCGTGCCGGGCCCAGCAGCCGTGACTGGGGTCGTGCGAGCATCGCACTGAAGTGACCCGTCCCTCGCACTAGGGAACTGCTGAGGCTGCTGCGCACCGTGCCGGGCCCAGCATCCGTGACTGGGGTCGTGCAAGCTTCGCACTGCAGTGACCCGCCCCTCGCACTAGGGACCTGCTGAGGCTGCTGTGCACTGTGCCAGGCCCAGCATCCGTGACTGGAGTCGTGCGAGCATCGCACTGAAGTGACCCATCCCTCGCACTAGGGACCTGCTGAGGCTGCTGTGCGCTGTGCACTGTGCCAGGCCCAGCAGCCGTGACTGGGGTCGTGCGAGCATCGCACTGCAGTGACCCGTCCCTCGCACCAACAAATCGCTGCAGCTCGCACAGCAGGTCTGGAGCCGGCTCACGGAGAGGCTGAACAGTGCTAGCGACGCTCAGACAGGGCAGGCTGCATGAGGCCTGGTGTTGGTGAGCAGAGGCCTAGTGAGAGTGTTGCACTAATGTGACCCATGCCTGGCACAGTTGTCGCACAGGGCCCTGGAGAGGTGAACAGGAATGGGCACAAGGCGAGGCAGGCTGCACGAGGCCCAGCAGTGGTGTTCCAGGCCCAGCTGGTGCAGCGAAGGGCGGTGCCCAGGGCTCTGTGCACGCCCAGGTCCCCCCTACGCCACACTCACACTCACCCTTTCCCCTGGAGGGCCATGGGGACCGTCACCACCAGAGGTGCCCTGTGGGGGGAGACAAATGTGAGAGGCAACCAGGAGCACGTCCCCTTCCAACACACACTGACACGCGTGCACAGATGTGCAAGCACACACACCCATTCTCACACACTCAGATGTACACAGATGCACACAGAGAGACAGAGACAGAGAGAGAGAGACAGACAGGACACACACACACAAACAGAAGACACACACACATGGACAGACAGGGACACACAAACACACACACAAAGGAACACATTCAGCCTTGCACGTTTGCACACCCAGAGCCTGCTTACACACGCTGACCTCTGAGCCCTGCCCAGACCTCACCCTGCAACACACTGACCCCACCCCAACTCGACACTCAGACAGACGGACAGACCCGGAGCCCCAGACCTCACCTTCGCCCCCAGCTTTCCAGTGGCTCCTCGTGGCCCCCGCTGGCCCCTGGGACCCTGGAGGAATGAGACAGAGGCGGGTGAGTGTCTGAGCCCTAGCTCTGCCCCCTCCCGTCCTCCAACCGCCCCTTCCCGGGGGGCAGAACCCCAGCAACCCACACAGTGCCCTGGGGGCGTTCATAAGGATCTCAGGGATGGAGGCGGCAGATGGGAGGGACCCACCAGCCACATAGGACGGGGATGGACACATGACCCCCAGCCCCGGTAGGGGAATGCTGGACCCCCCCAACCCCAGATGGGAGGATTAAGGAGGGTAGGTGGAGGAGGATATTTGCGCCACCACCAGAGAGAGGCCCAGCCCCGAGGCACTGTGCCAAGGCGGGTGGAGCCCAGAGGGGACACATCATGTATGAGTCAAGCTG